TTTTTTTGTTTCAAAATAAGTCATTTTTGTTTTTGTACTCATTCAGTACTTATGAATAATTTCTTTAGGTTTTCTCACGACATCTTACGTGGGACAATCATTGATGAAGTGTGTGGGGTTGTTGATGTTTATGTGTAATGTCTCATTTTCACAACAAAAAATTTTCATTTTTAAATAAGGCAAAAATCTCTAATTATAAATCCACTAATAAGAAAAAACGTTTATTCCAAAATACATTTATCGAAAATCAATGTAATATAAGAAACGTGGAATCCTCAATACTGTTGATGAGTGTAATATTAAAATAGGAACATAATTACAATTCCTTCAAAAAATCATTTAAACAAAATCTACAGTTCAAGTACAATTACATTTTTAACTTATTTAAACGAAAACTACAATAAAAATCAAAGCTAAAAAATGCAACTTTGACTAACAATAATTATGTAAATATGAACATAACGAAGGATAAAAATGTAACTTTGACTAGGTCGAATTAAGGTCTCAAGTTTCACAAGTCAAATATTTTAATGCTCGAGCTCTAATATATAATATTCTTGAGTGGCTCGAGATCCAATCTACTTGAGTCGAGTCAATTTTCAATATTTTTCAAATCAGTCTTGAATAACTTGAGCTCTACTCAACTTGAATCAAGTCAATTTCAAAAAAATTGCGAGTTGTTTCTAAAATTTAAAATTAATCTTAAAATAAAATGAAATGCACACTAAATATATCATAACAATTTCAAATTAAAAAAAAAATAATATTAAATAAATAGTTCATGTGACCGTCAGGTTTTTTGATGGGACAAAGCCTTGCAGTTTTTATCCAATCAACATCAGTCCTAATCTAATGCATACCAAACGCAGTACAAGAGTACAAGACTGCGTTCCATCAATCCATACATCCTATCTACCTAACAAACAAAACAAATCTTTAAAGTGGAAATGTGAATATTAAATACCTTGACTACAGTTCCTCCTTTATAGAACTCTGTTGGTTTGTTTTTTCCTTATTCTTCTTAATAAAACTAGTAATCTTATCCTTGCTTCTCTTTCCACTATATTGCAACAATTTTCCACTTGCTGACTTGAAGTACAATGTAGGGTAACCCTTAACATCAAACCCTTCATGCACAATATCATTTGCAGTTGCATCCTATAAAAATTATATACAAAATACCTCATTCAGCTTCACATCAAACATGCATAAAGTGCTAGACACTTTGTTAAGATAACTCTTTGTATTAATGAATTTGAAAATGTCAATGGATCTTACAATCTTAGCAATGATAACATCCGCATCATTTGCAAATGAAGCAGCAATTTTATCCAAAATTGGAGCCAACTTTTTGCAGTGTCCACACCACGGGGCGTAAAACTCCAACAAAACTGTAGTTTATAACTCAAGAATTAATTAATAATAGTAATAAACTAATAATAAAACATGAGTAATTTAAGTAATGAAGTGATGTTTTGCTTACCGTTTTTCCCTGATTTGAAAACAATGTCATTGAAATTGTCAGCAACAACCACCTTAACTGGTTGATTATTAACCTCGGGTACAGGCTCGGATTTTACATATGGTGTAACTTTTCCATCCTGCAATTTTATTGTATCTGTTTGGTTGGATGGAATGGAATGAAGATGGACGAATGGAATTAGCAAGGGAATGGAATGATCAATTACATTCCATTACCATGTTTGGTTGGTTTGTAGGAATGAAATAGATTGTAATATGAATTTTTTAAATTATATGCAAATGCAACTTATAGTTTTTAACTCTATGCTATACCTTATCTAATTAAAAGTGAAATAAGATTGTATTACAAATTTTCATTTCATTCCATCAAACGTAAAACAAACAATATTTTTTTTTATTCCAAACACATTTAATTCCTTCCCCAATTATTGAAATGAATCAATCACCTTGTACTCCTTCAACCATGATTCAAGGTGATGAGGCTCTACGTTTGGTTTCACATACTTCTCTTTATCATCATTTATAACCATCACAGGAACATGGTCTTCCTTAATTCCAAAAAACTGTTGATCAAAACCATTAAGAAAAATATATAGGAATTAACAATATATTATTTCAAATCATTTTTTAGTGACGGAATTGAATCCGTCACTATATCCTAGTAGTGAGTAAGAGATGCTAACCTGGAAAGCACCTTGACTAGCTTCAACATCTCCAATTAGAAAACTTATTCCCTTTCCCTTGTGCTCATTAGCAATGTCTTGATATTTGGATTCAAAAGCACCAAAAGGCTTGCTACTAAAGTTCACAAAAAGCATAGCCTACCAATTCCACAGTATCTCATTACAAGACATTTTTTTTTTTCTTTTTTTGGTAATTTGCCCACTTGATATTTTGTGCTCAACATAAAATATTTTGTGGGTCCGCTTAAATACATAGATAAAAAAAAAAGTACATATAAATTAATTTTTTTCACCTTTGCATTGGGAGTGTTAAAGAATTTGATGACAAACGGGTGATTCTTTGGATCGAGGTTAAAGACGGTTACAGTAGGAATGGTTGCTTCCTCAACGAACTTCTCTAATGCATCCAAATTAAAATCCTACATATTAAAATACAATTTTATCTCATTGACATCAGTTTCAGTTTCAGTCGATATCAGTCACAGTACATGCCAAACACAATACAATATATTTTGTCGTGTCACGTTTGTAATAGACAGGAATAAACACATTTAAAGATTACCTTAAAATCTACTACAAGTTCATCAAATGGCTTGAATAAACGGACAATGGGCCCCACTACAGACGAATCACCTCGTGGTAAAAGTTTTGCATCTAATGTATGAGCAAATTCATAATCCAAACGCAAATGTTCAGCTAAAGTCAAAAATACCCCGAACTTTTCTCCGGAAAATTCAGGGAACACTCCAACCTAGGAGAACAAACAAACACATTACTCATGGCACAAAAAAATAATAATCAATTTATGCAAAAAGAACGACTTAACTGAGAACGTCAGAAAAATAAGGCTTTCTCTTTATAGTTTAACTTTATTTATTTTTTCCTTAGGTTTATCAAAGTATAAAATTATTTCTCAAATGGATTTAAAAAAAATATTAATTTAGACGGTAATTTATCCATGCAACATTTAATAAGAAGAAAAGAAAAGAAATAGGACTTACGATAACGATATTATCTCCATCAACAAGAGCATTGCCCTCTTCTGTAGATGTTATTTCAACAGAAGCGGGCCCGACTTGTTTCTTCAAGTAAGAAACTATTCCTTCTGCATCTCTTGGTCCTTTGTAATCTTGAATAGTTTTTCCTCCATCTCTAATGATTTTAAGTGTTGGGAAACCTTTTATGTCATACTCACTAGCCAAATCTTTGTTCTTTTCATCATTGGCATCAACTTTTGCTAAAGCAATCATGGGGTTGTTACTACTCAATATAGAAGCAGCTTTTTCAAACTGAAAAATCATTAAAGAAATCATGAGCTCATAAGGAATATATGTAACCCAACTAACAATGTTTAAGCATTCCCACAATCAACATGTAGGAAGTACAAGCATTTGTAAAAACCAATCCCAATCCAATGCATGTTAAACACTTATGGATTTTGACCTCCTTTCTCTCAGAATAATGATGTGGGGCCCACATATATATTATGTCGAGGATGAAAGATTGAAAGTTACCTCTGGATCAAGTTTCTTGCAGTGGCCACACCTATGTGTTAATTGACAAATCAAGATGTTAACAATGACAATGTGATTTCATTAATCGTTTATGAACAATGTCAATGCAACAAAAATTGAAAAATAAAAATCTTTTATGAACAATGCAAGAGTATCATAATAAATCTCACCACAATCCGATTAACACACAGAGAAAATGGGGATCGATCTGAGAGTACGTGGTGCAACAACGATAAAACAAACAATGAATCACCGACTGAAAACAAACAAACCAGATATGTAAACAATGGAGTTATGGAGGTTCTTACCAAGGTGCATAAAAGTCGACGACGACAAAATCATGATAGCTAATAGTTCCGGTGAAGTTGGATTGATCGAGAGTCAGAACGAACTCTTTCGATTGTGATGACGAGTCTTTAGTAGTATGGGCAGCGACACATGATATTCCGCCAATATACAACGGCGTTAGAAGAGAAAATAGGAAGACGATGATCGGAACCCTAGATGACGCCATTGCCGGAATGTTGTGGTAGCTGTTTAGATTCTTCCTCTGTAAAATCTTCCGAGATCGAGTTGAACTGAAAAATAGCGAGACCAGGTAGCCATTGCCGTACTCGCAGCAATTCGGTATTCATAAATCATAGTCATCATTCCCACGTGGCATTTCGGTTGATTTTTAGTCGGGTGTAGTTTATAATTCAAACATGGGCTAATTTTGCTTATATATTAAAAAAGAAAAAGCATAATTAACCTATTTTATTAAATTTGGATAATGTGTTAATTTAATATCTTATACTAATATTAAATTCAATGCATTTATGTGATATTATATGTTTTTATGTGGTTCTAGGTCACATATAGCTACCATTAAGTAATTTGTTGTTGCTCCCGGAAGTTTGATCAAACAAGTCCTTGGTAAAGTAGTTGTTTATAAAAACACCGGGTAGTTGATGGGAGTAGCTTATGATTGCACGTTTCCCATAGTCCACATGTGTAGTAACATCCTTCAAGGTATTTTTGGAATGCATCAAATCCTATCTTAACTTCAAAAACATGTGCCTCACTTGCCACAACACCCTAAAACCCGCAAATGATATACATTTACTTAGGATAAGGAATTAGGAGGTTTTGAGAATAAAACATACTACACAAAACTACTTTACATCATGTCAACATTACTATAATGCTCTGTCAGCTTTCATAAATTATTTAGTATATTATTTACAAAGTTGTTTGTTTTTTTTTTATAACATTGTCCCATAGAAAACGTTGTTTTTGTAACATACATATGCTCTTTACTTGATTAATTATTCAATATATTATAGCCTTCATATTTCATTTTGACTAATTGTGTTGAGCCAGACACGTGTCTTTCAATCAGAAAGTAACCTAATTCAAACACAACCTCAAAAGATCATATAAGAAAATGGACAACATTAAATATACTCACAGTAAACCACTATATCAATCAATCATTGCATCTCTACACATTCTCAAGGAAAGCCAAAACCAAAATATAAACACAAACTCTATAAAAAAAATGGAAGAAAAAAAAAAAACGAATCAGTTCCCAAGTAGAGATGTCAAAAGTGCCAAAACAGCAATGACAATGATAATATTGAGAAAATAGTTAGACTGAAGAGGCTTATCAGGGCTTCCTCCAACAGCTTCATATTCTGCACGAATCTTCTGCTTCATGTTATCTGAAAGCTCTCTCTGCAAATTCAAATATTTCAACTTACCATCTCAATCTCCATTATTAACATTTCATCATTGCTGAATTGCATTGCATTCTGGTATTATTTTTAAATTATTCCTTTAACAAAACAAGATAGTTGTTGTGTATCTTAATCCTGCACCAATCAAACACAAAAAAAATCTAAACCATCTGCAAAAAACCATATGTACCCTTATCTATTTTTTACTTTTTAAGCATTATTATTTTATCCAGCATGTAATATAGAAGGGCCTTATGGTAAAAAGTAAAACCTTTCCAGATGAGTACTTGGCTGCTACAAATTTCTCAGGTACTGCTGCTGCTGCAGGTTCATCATTAATTGAAAACCCCTGACAAATAGATATATATATTTTTTTGTAAAAAAAAAGATTGCTATAAATGAGAAAAAAGATATATTTTATAAGAACAATTGAACAGATTCTACAAACCTCGGTAGGATCAAACTTAGCTCCAAGGTTGCTGAGTTTAGCATGTGCTTCAGCATAGTCATCAAAAAATATTTTGGGTGTCTTTAGGTTTAAACCCTAAAAACAGGTGTGGGTTTTGTTGATATAGAGTGAGTTGGTGATAAAATATATGGTGCTAAGTTAGGGTGGGTTGCTTGGCAATCTCTATTAAGAGGCTAACATGTTTGGTAAGTTTGAATGATAATATTAATCATTTTATTATTTATTTTAAATTTGTAGAACATCAAATCATGTAAAATTGTAAAACAAGATCAAAATAAATTGATTTTTTTAAAATAAATTGTAAAGCAAGACCAAAATAAATTGAAATTTTAAAAATTTGTATAGCAATGTCAAAGTCCTATCTCAAAGTCTTTATATCTTTATTAATAAAAAAAATGTACAACAAAATTGTAAAGCAAGATCAAAACAAGTTATCCTTCAACCCAATGTTTTCCGTTGATTCTTGACTTCATACTTTGATACAAGAATCATGAAAGAGAAAACCATTTCAAGCATCAGTAAAAGCCAGTGATACTAATTTTAAATCAACAATCATAAAGTATCAAACAAAATTCAAAGCAATGAAACACAGATTTTGTATTAGAAGAAACAACAAAATTTAAAGAGAGAGAGAGAGAGAGAGAGAGAGAGAGAGAGAGAGAGAGAGAGCAACCATGGACAAGCCAAAGCTTTCAAGACCGATTAAAACTAGACCTACTTTGTAATCTAATTACAACTAGATCTATTTTTATCAGGATTTGATAGTTTCTAAAATTCATTTTTTGTTGCAGCAATTTAGAGCTCATATAACAAGCTACAAAAAATCCAGCAATGCTCCGACCGATTTAGAACCAACATCTTAATAGGATCATTAACAGGTGAACCAAACATCCCCTAGTAGTTTTTCTCAAATTCAATTCCATTATGTCTTATAAAACTCAACAAAAGAACTTAAACGAATCTCCATCGATGCCATTTTTGTAACCAAAAACACAAACCATCAATGCACACAAATTATTTTAATCATATCTATTGAGTATACGAATATTTATATTAAATTTAGGGTTAATGGCATAATATATTAACCAGTTATTATCAATGAGCACTTTGATTAATTAATCGTTTAATTGCACTTACAAAGCCACTCAAGGTCCTTTTGTATTTATATTTAGGGATAATGACTTAAAATGATAATATATTTTTTGATTTGTACACATTTGGTCACTAAGTTTTTTTTTCGTCCACATTTACCCCTTCAACTTGTTAAACTGTACACATTCAGTCCTTATAACCGGTTACTCCAGGTTAGCCGGGAAAATGACTTAATAGGATAATATATTTTTCATTTTGTACACGTTTAGTCTTTAATATTTTTGTACACATTTAGTCATTAATATATATTTTTTTGTTTCAAAATAAGTCATTTTTGTTTTTGTACTCATTCAGTACTTATGAATAATTTCTTTAGGTTTTCTCACGACATCTTACGTGGGACAATCATTGATGAAGTGTGTGGGGTTGTTGATGTTTATGTGTAATGTCTCATTTTCACAACAAAAAATTTTCATTTTTAAATAAGGCAAAAATCTCTAATTATAAATCCACTAATAAGAAAAAACGTTTATTCCAAAATACATTTATCGAAAATCAATGTAATATAAGAAACGTGGAATCCTCAATACTGTTGATGAGTGTAATATTAAAATAGGAACATAATTACAATTCCTTCAAAAAATCATTTAAACAAAATCTACAGTTCAAGTACAATTACATTTTTAACTTATTTAAACGAAAACTACAATAAAAATCAAAGCTAAAAAATGCAACTTTGACTAACAATAATTATGTAAATATGAACATAACGAAGGATAAAAATGTAACTTTGACTAGGTCGAATTAAGGTCTCAAGTTTCACAAGTCAAATATTTTAATGCTCGAGCTCTAATATATAATATTCTTGAGTGGCTCGAGATCCAATCTACTTGAGTCGAGTCAATTTTCAATATTTTTCAAATCAGTCTTGAATAACTTGAGCTCTACTCAACTTGAATCAAGTCAATTTCAAAAAAATTGCGAGTTGTTTCTAAAATTTAAAATTAATCTTAAAATAAAATGAAATGCACACTAAATATATCATAACAATTTCAAATTAAAAAAAAAATAATATTAAATAAATAGTTCATGTGACCGTCAGGTTTTTTGATGGGACAAAGCCTTGCAGTTTTTATCCAATCAACATCAGTCCTAATCTAATGCATACCAAACGCAGTACAAGAGTACAAGACTGCGTTCCATCAATCCATACATCCTATCTACCTAACAAACAAAACAAATCTTTAAAGTGGAAATGTGAATATTAAATACCTTGACTACAGTTCCTCCTTTATAGAACTCTGTTGGTTTGTTTTTTCCTTATTCTTCTTAATAAAACTAGTAATCTTATCCTTGCTTCTCTTTCCACTATATTGCAACAATTTTCCACTTGCTGACTTGAAGTACAATGTAGGGTAACCCTTAACATCAAACCCTTCATGCACAATATCATTTGCAGTTGCATCCTATAAAAATTATATACAAAATACCTCATTCAGCTTCACATCAAACATGCATAAAGTGCTAGACACTTTGTTAAGATAACTCTTTGTATTAATGAATTTGAAAATGTCAATGGATCTTACAATCTTAGCAATGATAACATCCGCATCATTTGCAAATGAAGCAGCAATTTTATCCAAAATTGGAGCCAACTTTTTGCAGTGTCCACACCACGGGGCGTAAAACTCCAACAAAACTGTAGTTTATAACTCAAGAATTAATTAATAATAGTAATAAACTAATAATAAAACATGAGTAATTTAAGTAATGAAGTGATGTTTTGCTTACCGTTTTTCCCTGATTTGAAAACAATGTCATTGAAATTGTCAGCAACAACCACCTTAACTGGTTGATTATTAACCTCGGGTACAGGCTCGGATTTTACATATGGTGTAACTTTTCCATCCTGCAATTTTATTGTATCTGTTTGGTTGGATGGAATGGAATGAAGATGGACGAATGGAATTAGCAAGGGAATGGAATGATCAATTACATTCCATTACCATGTTTGGTTGGTTTGTAGGAATGAAATAGATTGTAATATGAATTTTTTAAATTATATGCAAATGCAACTTATAGTTTTTAACTCTATGCTATACCTTATCTAATTAAAAGTGAAATAAGATTGTATTACAAATTTTCATTTCATTCCATCAAACGTAAAACAAACAATATTTTTTTTTATTCCAAACACATTTAATTCCTTCCCCAATTATTGAAATGAATCAATCACCTTGTACTCCTTCAACCATGATTCAAGGTGATGAGGCTCTACGTTTGGTTTCACATACTTCTCTTTATCATCATTTATAACCATCACAGGAACATGGTCTTCCTTAATTCCAAAAAACTGTTGATCAAAACCATTAAGAAAAATATATAGGAATTAACAATATATTATTTCAAATCATTTTTTAGTGACGGAATTGAATCCGTCACTATATCCTAGTAGTGAGTAAGAGATGCTAACCTGGAAAGCACCTTGACTAGCTTCAACATCTCCAATTAGAAAACTTATTCCCTTTCCCTTGTGCTCATTAGCAATGTCTTGATATTTGGATTCAAAAGCACCAAAAGGCTTGCTACTAAAGTTCACAAAAAGCATAGCCTACCAATTCCACAGTATCTCATTACAAGACATTTTTTTTTTTTCTTTTTTTGGTAATTTGCCCACTTGATATTTTGTGCTCAACATAAAATATTTTGTGGGTCCGCTTAAATACATAGATAAAAAAAAAAGTACATATAAATTAATTTTTTTCACCTTTGCATTGGGAGTGTTAAAGAATTTGATGACAAACGGGTGATTCTTTGGATCGAGGTTAAAGACGGTTACAGTAGGAATGGTTGCTTCCTCAACGAACTTCTCTAATGCATCCAAATTAAAATCCTACATATTAAAATACAATTTTATCTCATTGACATCAGTTTCAGTTTCAGTCGATATCAGTCACAGTACATGCCAAACACAATACAATATATTTTGTCGTGTCACGTTTGTAATAGACAGGAATAAACACATTTAAAGATTACCTTAAAATCTACTACAAGTTCATCAAATGGCTTGAATAAACGGACAATGGGCCCCACTACAGACGAATCACCTCGTGGTAAAAGTTTTGCATCTAATGTATGAGCAAATTCATAATCCAAACGCAAATGTTCAGCTAAAGTCAAAAATACCCCGAACTTTTCTCCGGAAAATTCAGGGAACACTCCAACCTAGGAGAACAAACAAACACATTACTCATGGCACAAAAAAATAATAATCAATTTATGCAAAAAGAACGACTTAACTGAGAACGTCAGAAAAATAAGGCTTTCTCTTTATAGTTTAACTTTATTTATTTTTTCCTTAGGTTTATCAAAGTATAAAATTATTTCTCAAATGGATTTAAAAAAAATATTAATTTAGACGGTAATTTATCCATGCAACATTTAATAAGAAGAAAAGAAAAGAAATAGGACTTACGATAACGATATTATCTCCATCAACAAGAGCATTGCCCTCTTCTGTAGATGTTATTTCAACAGAAGCGGGCCCGACTTGTTTCTTCAAGTAAGAAACTATTCCTTCTGCATCTCTTGGTCCTTTGTAATCTTGAATAGTTTTTCCTCCATCTCTAATGATTTTAAGTGTTGGGAAACCTTTTATGTCATACTCACTAGCCAAATCTTTGTTCTTTTCATCATTGGCATCAACTTTTGCTAAAGCAATCATGGGGTTGTTACTACTCAATATAGAAGCAGCTTTTTCAAACTGAAAAATCATTAAAGAAATCATGAGCTCATAAGGAATATATGTAACCCAACTAACAATGTTTAAGCATTCCCACAATCAACATGTAGGAAGTACAAGCATTTGTAAAAACCAATCCCAATCCAATGCATGTTAAACACTTATGGATTTTGACCTCCTTTCTCTCAGAATAATGATGTGGGGCCCACATATATATTATGTCGAGGATGAAAGATTGAAAGTTACCTCTGGATCAAGTTTCTTGCAGTGGCCACACCTATGTGTTAATTGACAAATCAAGATGTTAACAATGACAATGTGATTTCATTAATCGTTTATGAACAATGTCAATGCAACAAAAATTGAAAAATAAAAATCTTTTATGAACAATGCAAGAGTATCATAATAAATCTCACCACAATCCGATTAACACACAGAGAAAATGGGGATCGATCTGAGAGTACGTGGTGCAACAACGATAAAACAAACAATGAATCACCGACTGAAAACAAACAAACCAGATATGTAAACAATGGAGTTATGGAGGTTCTTACCAAGGTGCATAAAAGTCGACGACGACAAAATCATGATAGCTAATAGTTCCGGTGAAGTTGGATTGATCGAGAGTCAGAACGAACTCTTTCGATTGTGATGACGAGTCTTTAGTAGTATGGGCAGCGACACATGATATTCCGCCAATATACAACGGCGTTAGAAGAGAAAATAGGAAGACGATGATCGGAACCCTAGATGACGCCATTGCCGGAATGTTGTGGTAGCTGTTTAGATTCTTCCTCTGTAAAATCTTCCGAGATCGAGTTGAACTGAAAAATAGCGAGACCAGGTAGCCATTGCCGTACTCGCAGCAATTCGGTATTCATAAATCATAGTCATCATTCCCACGTGGCATTTCGGTTGATTTTTAGTCGGGTGTAGTTTATAATTCAAACATGGGCTAATTTTGCTTATATATTAAAAAAGAAAAAGCATAATTAACCTATTTTATTAAATTTGGATAATGTGTTAATTTAATATCTTATACTAATATTAAATTCAATGCATTTATGTGATATTATATGTTTTTATGTGGTTCTAGGTCACATATAGCTACCATTAAGTAATTTGTTGTTGCTCCCGGAAGTTTGATCAAACAAGTCCTTGGTAAAGTAGTTGTTTATAAAAACACCGGGTAGTTGATGGGAGTAGCTTATGATTGCACGTTTCCCATAGTCCACATGTGTAGTAACATCCTTCAAGGTATTTTTGGAATGCATCAAATCCTATCTTAACTTCAAAAACATGTGCCTCACTTGCCACAACACCCTAAAACCCGCAAATGATATACATTTACTTAGGATAAGGAATTAGGAGGTTTTGAGAATAAAACATACTACACAAAACTACTTTACATCATGTCAACATTACTATAATGCTCTGTCAGCTTTCATAAATTATTTAGTATATTATTTACAAAGTTGTTTGTTTTTTTTTTATAACATTGTCCCATAGAAAACGTTGTTTTTGTAACATACATATGCTCTTTACTTGATTAATTATTCAATATATTATAGCCTTCATATTTCATTTTGACTAATTGTGTTGAGCCAGACACGTGTCTTTCAATCAGAAAGTAACCTAATTCAAACACAACCTCAAAAGATCATATAAGAAAATGGACAACATTAAATATACTCACAGTAAACCACTATATCAATCAATCATTGCATCTCTACACATTCTCAAGGAAAGCCAAAACCAAAATATAAACACAAACTCTATAAAAAAATGGAAGAAAAAAAAAAAACGAATCAGTTCCCAAGTAGAGATGTCAAAAGTGCCAAAACAGCAATGACAATGATAATATTGAGAAAATAGTTAGACTGAAGAGGCTTATCAGGGCTTCCTCCAACAGCTTCATATTCTGCACGAATCTTCTGCTTCATGTTATCTGAAAGCTCTCTCTGCAAATTCAAATATTTCAACTTACCATCTCAATCTCCATTATTAACATTTCATCATTGCTGAATTGCATTGCATTCTGGTATTATTTTTAAATTATTCCTTTAACAAAACAAGATAGTTGTTGTGTATCTTAATCCTGCACCAATCAAACACAAAAAAAATCTAAACCATCTGCAAAAAACCATATGTACCCTTATCTATTTTTTACTTTTTAAGCATTATTATTTTATCCAGCATGTAATATAGAAGGGCCTTATGGTAAAAAGTAAAACCTTTCCAGATGAGTACTTGGCTGCTACAAATTTCTCAGGTACTGCTGCTGCTGCAGGTTCATCATTAATTGAAAACCCCTGACAAATAGATATATATATTTTTTTGTAAAAAAAAAGATTGCTATAAATGAGAAAAAAGATATATTTTATAAGAACAATTGAACAGATTCTACAAACCTCGGTAGGATCAAACTTAGCTCCAAGGTTGCTGAGTTTAGCATGTGCTTCAGCATAGTCATCAAAAAATGCTTTTTCATCTTCTGCATATTTCTCAGCAAATACCTGAAAGCCAAATCATTTCTACTTTTACATAAACAAATAAAATTTATCAAACAATTTTTTAACTTTTTCACCTTGAATGATGGATCATCAAAAAGGGCAGCATCCGTAGGCAAAACTAGTAGATCTTCATCTCTTCTTTCTTTAATGTCCTGTTTACATATTCATTCATATTCACTATTTTTCTTACAACTCATAAAATTAAGAAAAAAAAAATTGTTATTGCATTACCTTGAAGTAGGAATTATCAAACTTTAGCCACTTTTCAGTCCAAGATTGTCCCCCTGGGGCTCCAGGCCCTTCTTTCTGTCATATATTCAACATTTAATTGTTAGGTTTAAATTTGACACTGAAGGGTATTTTTGGTATTTTAATTGTTTCCTACCGTATATTTAGTCTCTGGCTTTCCCCAGCCACTGCGTTCAGGTCTGGATCTCCCCAAAGTGTGGGCCCCGGATAATGCAACTATTTCCTGCAAATTCAAATTATAAAACATCATATTGCAATTAACATTTTACATTTTTACATATAAAAAATAGTGATCTAATGATCTCAACCTTATCATTCAATCCCATTCTGTAGAAAACATCACGCAAGTGAGAAGCAGGTGAAGGTGGGCCCGCATCTAAATCATGAAATGAAAAAAAGTTAGAAACCCAAAAAATATATATAAAAGAAAATTTAAAGAGAAATGATGATATTAGTAATGACACCTGGGAGTCTCCCTTCTTCTGGACACTGATCAGGTGTAGAAACATCAACACGTCCATACTTCATAGGAATCTTGGGACCTCCAGCCTCCTGTGATTGTTATTATGTTAAGTAAAAATCAATGATAGAATATATATATATTTTTTTGTAAATTTATTAAAAAGATTCTAAAAGTGACCTCAATAGCTGTAGCACTTGCTAATTGGAACAAGTCTGCATAAGTTATGGTTGCATACTTGTCTTTGATAGGCTGGAGAAGCTTGAGAGCATTTACAAGCCCTGTAATAACATGAAGTAATATTAAAAATAGAAAAGAAAAAAAGATTAAAGAAAAAGGTAAAGGGTAGTAAATAACTTGCCAGCATTGGCTGCGTGTTTCTGTTCAACTTCAAACCTTAAACTTCCATTAGCTCCACCTCTTTGAGGCCATTCTTCAATATTCTTATTGTAAGTTCCAGCATCATGCCACCCTAGGCGAACCTATTGCAGATGAAGAATCAAAGTTTATAGTTAGAAGGGTAAATTTGAACTTTCACTAGTTTATATTTCTTTGTTGGGTAGTAGTTAGTGGCTACTATAGTTTCATGAGTTGTTCTTTCTTTACTTCAATCAATAGCTAAGTGCCCTTGATTGATCCCTAATGAAACTCTTCTCAAACAACAGATATCAGATAGCAAACATCAAAAACATACAAGTCCCTATGGAATATATTTCAACAGATATCAGATAGCAAATTTTGTTACCAAACTTACTTCTCAACTTGATTATATGAAAATTTTGTTACCAAACTTAATTGATATAGAATCTACTTCAACGAAATTTAGCGAAGTAAAATGAACTTTAAATTCACTGCTAGAAACTACATTAATGTTGGTGTTCAATAACGGATCCTGATTATTCTGTATTTGGAATGTTTAGTGAGGTAGGAGAAGGTAGTAAATATTAGGTCAAAATAGATACAATCGGGGAAGGTTTTAAAATTAACCATAATAGGATGACAGTAGGTAGTCTTGAGGAGTTCTTTAATGTCTTCTCTAGCAGACTTGAGCTGATCAGGGTTAGATGCAAAGCATTTCGTGGTAACCACTGCGCCGAAATCACCACCGGACGAATAAAGCTTTGTTCGTTTCTGCAATAAATAGATAATGAGAAGGATTAAAACATTTGTAATGAATGAGGGAGGGAATGGAGAGAAACCTGATGAGATAATTTGAGGCATTTGAGAGATGCAGCGACAGAAGAGGATGAAGAGAGGAAATGGAATGAGAGGGACGAAGGTCTGGCGGTGGTAGTTGGAGAAAGTGAAAGGAGACGAGGAGTGGCGGAGGAGGTGGCGGAGCCACCGGAAAGAGCCATTGGCGAGGGTGTAAGAGAGGAACAGTTAGCCGCCATTGAAATTGGATGTTGATCAGAAAATCAGAATGAATAAGAAGTACGACTGATCCTATCTCCAAAAGCCACAAAAGAGGAGGACAAGAATCCAAAACAAAATTTCACTTCCACCACCACCAACGGAAAATATCAAAATATTAATTAAAAAGTAATTATGTCGAATTGTCGATCAAATAGCATATTATTAATATAAAATATAAATATTGTATTTTATTTTCTGGTTATTAATATTTTTTATTTGTATTTAGATCATTTATTAAATGTTTAATCGGTACCAAATCAGTTTTGAACTTTTGATAGAGGTAACATCTTGTGAAGAAGCTTTTCTTACTGTTATTATTGAAAGAAAAAATGTGTATCATTTATAGTGGGTTCCAGTTTCTTAATATACTAAGTATATTTAACTATATTTTAAGATTAAAAATAGTTTTTAAAACCAATGAAAATTAATTATTTAGTGTGAATCAAAGAGTGTGAACGAATCTTTTGATGGTCGATTCTCACAAAACATAAAGAAACAAAAGAACATGATTTGTTTGACTACAAGAACCATGCCAAATTTGAAATAAAGAATAAACTAAACAATGTTTAGAAATTTTATTCTTGTAAACAAAGCACCAGAAGTCTTTTTAATTAGCAAATACATAAATATACATGCAAAATACATATTATGTTAATTTACAATAATAAGAATTTAATTTTAAAAATGACTATTTAATTGCCATCCTGACTCTCAACTTTTATTAAATATGGTAAACAAAATAAAATAGTTTTGGATAATTGATCCTATATTATCATCTAGTAATGGATAAAATCGATCTAATCTAATAACCAAATAGATAGATTTGATTTTGTTGCAAATTAGATTGTATCAGCTGAGAAAATCCAACAGCCAATGGATAATTGGATTAGATCGATTTCATCAACTATTGGATTTCAATTGGACACTCTACCAAAACCTATATTAGACAAGTAAAGGAAGTGGTTCGAGGTACTTGACCAAAAGTTATATGTTTAATTATTATAAACTTTTTCTAACTCTTGTGTCACATATTTATTTTGGTCATAAGGATGGGGTGACATATGGTAGATACATAAGTTCACATGTTGATACTCACCTTCCTCTTGTCCATTCTAATGAGATTGTGGACTTTTTATTCTTGTTGATGCACAACATAAAGACAAAACCATATAACAAATCGGTTACAAATGGTGTAGCTTGTTGTTCATATAATATGCAATGTATTCATGTACATAATGACAAATACTCTATAGTGCTACTAAGCTATGAGGAAATGGATTATAAGTTCGTAGGAAACTACTATCATGTAGATGCTACCAATACTGCAAGATTTCTATTTCTTGCACCATTCATAAGTCAAATATATCCGTTGAAAGATGGTTGAATTGACATCGATGAAAAAAAAAAAGTTGAGAAAATAACCTTACATGAAGCACTCATTTTCTAGGAATATAGAACAATGTTTTGGAGTTCTAAGAAGAAATTGGCTACACCTAGAAGTCCATGCATTTTATCCTCATAGAACATTAAATCGGATCATCCTTGTTTGTTGCATTCTACATAGTTTTATACGAAAGAATTTTCTCAATGATCACCTTAACATAGAGAAAGACGAGCACAATGAGAATATGGCTCAGCTTACATTAACTTCAGAAGCTTTTATTATAACACCATGAGGGCTTGTACCATGTTATTTGTGATTGTAAGAATATATCATGTTTATGTGTATCTTATGTTAATGTTTTGTTTTGTTTTATCATAGTATCATTAATGACGTGTTTAAAGGAATGTAATCCAAGAGGTTGGAGTTAAAGCTAAAGAAAATGGAATGAGATGGAAGATGAGTAGATGACAAGCTTGTAAAAGGTCATGCTTGATGTATTAAACACCTGCTCTCTCTTTAAAGTAGGTAACCATTTTTTGCTAATTGGCATGCCTTTTAACACTTACCAATTACTTTACATGGTTGTTTTAAATGAAAAGTGTTTTATAAGGAAAAAGTTAGTGGTTTTTTAGTATTCATCAAAAAATGAGTATCAATAAGGGAAAAGACCTATTTAAAATTTGTACTTTAAAGATTGGTTGGAGCCCTCCAAATAAACGAAAGGACTCTCCAAAAATAGGAGTATGCCACTAGATATGGAGAACACACGGTATTCTTTAGTAAAAGGCGAAAGAATAGTTCGCTTTGTGTTCACCACATGGCTGCATGCCTCTCATGTCTCAGCTGCTTGGTTTATGTAATGGTTTGCACGCCTTCTATTTTCTGTAAGCAGTCCATGTGGGATGAACCCCAAACCTACATTCATCTGTTCCAATTAAGGATTTTGTTTGACCAAAAGCATAGTTTCATGCCAATTTTTCTGACAGTTCATTTATGTTTATTTTTTTGAAAGACTAATTATTATATGAGGTGAAACCGTGAAATATGTTTATAGTGATATAAGAGTATTTTTGTCTTTTCTTCTTGTTTTTACTTAGATTCAACCAAAACAATGCCAAACAAACAACATACTTAAATTCAAATCCCCCTATTTCTTTCCATTTTGTTCTCATCCTTGATTTAAAAAAGTTACATGTAGCTGTGCTAAGGATTTTCATGGTTACTATTCTGGTAGGATCCTAAGAGGATTTCCTACTGTCCCTTTCTCTCTCTATTGTTATAAATAAAACCCAGTTGGTTTTTTTGAAGCCACATTATTTCTTAGGTTATTTCAGTTGTTCTGTTTCAAAATTAGAAGCAATGCTAACTAGGCAAAGGTGACCAAAAGAATTTTTAACTGCAAAATTTGGTTGGAGCCCTAACAAAAGGGACTCTCCAAAAATAGGCGTATGCCACTAAATATGGCAAGCACACGGTATTCTTTAGTAAAAGGCGAAAGAATAGTTCGCTTTGTGCTTACCACATGGCTGCGTGCTTTCTAACTTCCCAGCTGCCTGCTTTAAGTAACCACTCTCACACCTTCTATTTCAATCCAGCAGTCGATGTGGGATGACTCTTCCTCTCCTCTTCCTCTTTTCTTTTCTTTTTCCCCTCTCTTACTTTGATTTGGTTTTTGATCTGTTTTGGAGGAAGTGTTCTTATACGTGTTTTGAAAGAAATTATTGGATATTGGATAATTAGAATAAGATATTTGTGAACAATACATTTGACGACCAAACAGCATTAAAAAAATGTTAGCCTAATGAAATTAGTGTTTCATATTGTATTAAATGAAAGGGGGTAAAAAAGTAATTTTCTTTTACTTTTTGATAAAGGTAGTGTATATTTTAGGGAGTGTATGGTCCTAATTGTTTTCCAAAAAAATAAAATTTCTAAGATTATTTGTTCTTCTGTTTGCTGGAGTGGTGAAAGGTGTAAATATTTATGTAAACATTAACTTTGAAGAGTGTTAGCGGTATATAACATAGCCTCTTTGGAAACTTCTCTTGAGGGTTGGTTTTATTAAAATTGTTGTTGAATGTGATTTGAACATATTGAGATCAAACATAAGAACAACATTCTTGATTGGTTTATGATCAATCGCTATAGTTGCCAAAATGAGCGGATTGGGTAAAGTCAAAACATCTTGAGTCTAGTTTTATATAGATCGATTTCTTAAATGGTCAAAGGTATATGAGGAAACATGAAACGTGGATGAATGGACATCAAGGGATCATCCCAAAAAATTTGAATAATTTACCATGAAGTGCTCATGTTTCAAGGAATGTCATAGGATGATGTTTTGAAGTTTTAAAAAGATGGGAGAAATACTTAGAAGTCCATCCTTCTTACCCCCTTTAAAATGCAACATCGGATCATGCTTGCATTCCTCCTTGTTAGATATATGCAAATCTTTCACCCCCTCTTCCTCTCTTCTTATTCCCTTTCTTTTACTTCGATTTTGTTCTTAGGAAGTGAGGTTTGAAAGTAAAAACTAGATATTGGATAACTAGAATGATATCTGTAACACCGTTAAATTTCAAACAAATTTTCATTTAATTTTAATAAAAACATTTCATTTCCAAATCATCCAAAAATCATATATCCAACAGTTTTCATCAAAAACACAATACAAATCCAAATTCCAAGGTCTCAAAACATGTCATCTGCAAATGTGTACGGATCATGCTAGCCCCTTCCCGCGATCATCACTGGTACCTGAAACACATAACACACAAACGGTAAGCATCAAAGTTTAGTGAGTTTCCCAAAATACCACATAGAACACACACGCCTTTCCATGCCATAACTCTATAGGATCTTCTGACCCAAGTGTTTTAGGGGATTTCCATCCCATAACTCTGTTGACCTTTCGGCCCATAATCTGTTGACCTTACGATCTATATCATCATACTCATATCATAACATATCACATATATAACATGTATCACATAAACATTATACACATAATACCTTCCGGTCGCACCTAGTTATCGGGTATGGCATAGTGAGAAGACTCACCTCGCTGATGTCGGATAATCACTCGAGCTCGATTCCCCGATGTATCGCCTACTATATCATAAGTTCATCTCTAATTAATACTTTCCTGACTTAGTTTGACTAACAATATTAAATCAACTCTAGTCAACCCTGGTCAACGGTCAGCCTTTGACCCGACTCGTCGAATCTTGCATAGACTCGTTGAGTCCATACGTGAACTCGAGTCCTTTGAATCCCTTCTGACTCACTGAGTCACTCACCAACTCGGCGAGTCATCCACTGATTCGAATCACGGGACACCCCGTTCCGACTCGTTGAGTCTGCTCATGGACTCAGCGAGTTCGTTTCATGCACAACCTCAAACACCCTCCTGAGGTCAGGTCTATTCCTTTAATCCTTAGATCTAACCTTTCCAAGCTCAATAATCACGTAAAGTCTCTATCTTGATGTACATGCAACATTTATATGACCACATATGATGATTTAGCCCCAAATACCACAACCCAAGGTCATAACCTCCATTGTTCTCCATAAAGCTTGATGAGTGAGGCTCTCTGGACCTCTATGGATCCATATCCAAAGCCTCATCACCATAAAGGGACTATTGGACATCAAATCAACCTAACAAAGGGCACAAGAAACCCTAAATCCATATATACTTCATAAAACAGAAGATGAGCCGAATTAATACCTCAAATGCAATGATCTTAGCTTCAAATCCATAGAATAGCAACCTCATTTGCTTCCTCTTGGCTAGGACCTCCTTCTTCTTGCTAAACAACACCACAACGGTCAAGAATGGCTTCCTTTCTCTCTCAAAACGCTCAAGCACTTTAGGGTTTCTCTCTATGTACTGGTAGCCGCAAATGAAGGCTATAAGGGCCTTTAAATAGGCCC